CTTCATTTATTAACCTACAGGTAATCCACTACCATTAAATACAAAAATGAAGTATGATTAAAAAAAAAAAAAGAACCGTTCCTAGCACGAGGGTCTAGCCCCTACCTGGGGCAGGAACTCCCCTAATTCCTTCGTCCAAGGTGCCTCAGTAAGGAAACAGCGCAGTACATCCAAAGAGACTAATGGAGGGTAGAGAGTGGCAGCGCACCGGCGAGGAGGCGTGGCCAGGTGGGAGGCTCCGGGCGGTGGGTGCGGCTTCCTCTTTCCGCGGGCTGGGCGGGGCAGGGCGCGCGTGTTCTAGACTGCGGGGTGCTCGCCTCCACCGCAGCACTCTCCCGGGTAAGTGGGGGCAGCACCCGCCGCAGGGCAGTGCGGCACAGACCCGGCTGCGCTGCGTGGTGAGGGCGGGCTGGGGCGAGGTCTCCGTGGACAGGGAGCCCGGCGCGAAGCATCAGGGAAACTGAGGCCGGGGAGCAGAAGCGCGTGCGTCTTATGGGGCCCGGGCGGACGCCCAGCTGTGCCCGCCCGCGTCCAGGGCACCCACTGAGCCCCTGCGGCCTCTTGGCTTCTAAAGCTCTTGGGGACTGGAAAAGAGCGGGGCCGGAGGGTCTTCGAGGTCGCAGGGGCAGCTGCCCAGCCCGGCTCGTGCTGGAGTGGATCCTTTTGGTGATAAAGCGCTTGGGGGCCGCGGGGCGTGGGGCCGCAGTTGGCTGCTCGGTGGGTTGCTGCGAGCGGATGGCGCCGTCCGGGCCGTGAGGCGGAGCCTGGCGTCGGCGCCCGTAGGCGGGATCGGCGGGTCGCGCCCTCCCGGGAAGCGGGTACCAGGTTCGGAGGGTCACCGCACGCCCCTCAGCGCCTGGGACCCGGTCTGTGTTCAGTGCTCGAGGCTCTGCCGCCCCGAAGCCGCCTGCCCACCTCTGTCCGCTTTCAGATAGTTCTGTCATGCAGGTACTGCCACTGGTTTTCGTGAAGACACAAAACTTTAGGCTGACCAGAAAGGAAATTGTGAAAATGAGAAGAAAACCAGCTCGTTTGCCAGAGCTGTTGGGTGTGTTGAGAAAGCTGTTTAGAGAGAAGTAAAAGAAATACGTGGCCTCTCAAGTAACCCTTTCAGGAAGTGTTTGAGATTCTGTTGTTTAGGGCGTTTGGCCTCCGGTACAGTGCTTGTAAAAATTAAATGATAGTAATGGTTCTTAGTACTTTAGAAATTGCACTGGGTGAGCCGGGACTGAGTAGCGGTTTGGGCCAGGCATGTCCCGGGTCAGGGTCGGGTTGAGGCCGGAGAGCTGGGTCAGGTTCTGCACTGGTCTCTGGCTGCCTCCGCTCCCGGGACCTCCGCGGCGGTGGAGCCTGACCCAGCTCTGCGCTCTGCTTGGCCGGTGGGCGTGGACGTGTTATGAACGACGACCTCCGGCTCAGCGGACCTTTTGAGATTTATGTTAACACATTCACCCCATCATACATTTTCCAAATGCCTACGGTGAAGAAATATGGCAAAAACTCCGACCTTACAGCCTGACCTTCTAGAACTTCTGTTAATTACTCAGTGCAGTAGGAACACAAGATGCTGCTGATGTTACGGATGGGGTGCAAAGAAATCGCATCTAAAGCAGAGCTAGGAGACCCCTGCATCCATCTGTACCCGAGCGAGCGAGAGGGAGGCCTAGACGAAACTGGACAGGCCTAGGCTAGGAAAGCCCTAGAGCCCCAGCTAACTATTCC